AATTAGGATTGATGATACTCTCCCTACAGTAATGCTTGTGGGAGAACTTGAAAAAAGGTTTGTCTTGTACTATCAGCCATGTACATGCTAAGAATAATTTTTTGTGGTCTGATTTCTTAAGTAGGAAAAGAGTTAAACTGAATCACAGATGAACATCAGATGTGAGCCCCAAGAGCCGTAGCCTAGAGTACTGAGAATATTTATCTTTGAGGCAAAAATCAGTTTTCAGCCTGCATTTTAAATCTAAAATTACGTTTTTCTACATCCCTCTAGGCAAACCTCTTTGTCCTTATATGTGCTTTTCATGGTTTAATTTTTCTCTCTTCTGAGAAAAAGTTTAACCAAGAAAGCTCTACTGCATAGTTTTAGAATAATGTATCTTCTTAAGGACTGTGCCAGTAAAAAAACTTTTCTTCAAATCTCCGTCCTACTTATCTTCCATAGAGACTTCCTTTTTTTGAGAATTGGTCACTTTTCCTTTTGGGAGTTTTTTATAACTTGACATGCAAAGACTTCCAAGATGATAAAAGATAGGAATAACAGATAAAAAGAGTTTAAACCTTCTCTTTCTTCTTTTTTTTTTTTTTTTATGCATACATACATTTTTAAAAGTTAAAAAGAGCTGTTCTTTGTGATAGATTGTTACAGTAATATTTTATAAAATCTTGCTGATTGGAAACAGTTTTGTTTTTCCTTAAATTGGGTTATTTTCTTAAAATAACATGAATTTATGCTGAAGAACCTAAGACAAATATTAAGATCTCAGTTTTTACTTTGAAATGGTGTTCACTAATAAAGAATCCAGCAATTTGAAGGATTTATAAAGAGAGATGTAGCTCTGAGTTTGTTTCTCTTGCTAAGTAAATAAACTCATAAATATCTGTTTATGACATCTGGAATGTTATTTGGAAGTTTAAATTCCAATTTGTTGAATAGAATTATTTCTGTGTTTATCCAAGATCTTCCTCTTTCTGTCTCTACGTGTAAATACCACAGTATTGACCATCAAAATGTTTCTCGTGGTCCAGAATGTGACAAAATGTAGAATATATGATGCAGACTGTGTCAAGCCTTTAGCCGTAGCATTCTGTGTTTATGTGTATAACTGTTTACGATTTTGTTGCATTTACTAGGTTTGCTGGGATGGGTAATCTTCTTAAGGTCCTTACCAGGGAAATTGAAAACTATCCACATTTTTTCCTGGATTTTGAAAGTAAGTTCAAACAATTACAAAACAATGAGAGATTCTTTTCCCTGACTTAACAGCAAACTGAGGAAAAACTTTTAATATCTAATTGCTTAGAGTGTGTATTTTCCACCACAACCAATCTGTCCAAGTCCTTGTCTCTATAATCTTGTTCACTCAGGACTCCTTTTCTCTTCCTTTTCTATTTTTCAGGAACCAAATGGGAAATCTTTTAAAAGTTCTCACTTGCACAGAGCTTGATCAGGGGCCAAATTTTTTCCTTGACTTTGAAAGTGAGCAAAGCTTCTTGCCTGGCTTGCCTTCTTTGCTTATTATTTCCTAATAAAGTGCATGCGCTCACGCATCATAAAGCAATTCAAAAGGGATTTGCAAACAAATCAAATTACACTTCAGTAGAATACTGCTTTTTGATATTTGTAGAACCATACAAAATTGCTTGAATTCATTCTGAGCAGAGAAAGGGACAGAAAGGTAGATATGCAAGTAAAACTTACCTTGAGTTAAATTCAAAACATTTGTGAGCCATTGTTAAATGTACATATGAATTAACTCAGCCTTGGCTTTCTTTAACAAGTCAGGGTTAAAAAAATTATGATTCTTTTTTGAACGGAAATACCTGTTTGAAATAAAAAGCTGAAAAAATATAAGCAGTGGAGGTGTCACTATTTTTGCTTGGTTCAGTGATGATTTAACTGGGAATATAGTTTCTAAAAAGTAGCAAAGGGCTCAAAGTGTACGCGCTTGATTGCATCTCTCTTAATTGCATGGTTATGAGTTTGCAGAACTGCATTCTAATTTCCTTGTCATATCTATATTTCATTCAAAGCTGTTTCACTTTTGCTGATTATATTTTCCCTGCATGTACTTCTAGACATTCTCATCAAATCCTTTAATATGGCTTTAATCTTTCTTCACTACATACATGAAATGCTTTTTATTTAAAACACTAACAGTGTGTGATGTTTTGTCTCTTAATACCTCTCTTCTAAAAAAAAATAAAAAAAAAAGTTTTGAGAAAAGCCAGTGTCTTTAAAATAGCTTTCTTTTGTAGCATTGGTTTAAGAGAGCATTTCAGGTGTTTAGACACATATTTTGTCATCTTGAAATAGTTTTGTTCTTGCATTATTTATTCCTGAATTATTTTTCTGAAAAAAGTAACTGACATGCTCTAAGTGTTTGTGTGTGCACTCTGAAGCGCTACTTCAAAAAGTCAGCTAGAGTGTATGACTGTAACTGTGCTCATATGTTTTCATCTAGATCATAATTACCTCATTATGAAGAATCAGTTTTAATTGATGGAAAAAAGTTAATTGGTTAGTTTGGGTTTAGGACAAGGTACTGTGAGCCGTGTATCCCTCATTCTCTATCACTTGAAAATTTTATTGTCATCCTGGGATATTAAACGTTTATCCAAACCACCACTTAATTTTATTTTTTCATCAAACTTTTGAAGGCCTTGTACTCTGTGGCTTAGCCAAGATACTGCAAAAGCTTTCAGCTGATCTGATATTCCAGATTTAATCAGTCCTACTGTGGCCTGGATGATAAGAAAGTGTTCCTGGCCTGAGCTGCAGGAGAGAGGTGGTCTGGCAGTGGGAAGCCTTGGCAGAGGTGGTGGTGAGCAGGGTTTGTTGCCTTGGCAGTGAACGTTGGTTTTTGTTCTAAAGGCACATGTCCAAGGACTGAATGGGTTGAAGTGCCCTCTCCCAAGGGAGGTCCAGTGGTCAGGGCACACTAGTCAGGCATAACTACATGCAGAGGAATGAAACTGTCACCTCCAGATTTCAGTGGGTTTGGTGCTCGTGAGTGGAAGTTTAAAATGTTTTTCCTGTGAAATACAGTCTCAGAGTTTTTTACTGACACAAAATCTGTATTGGGTCAAAGGGATGTGACTGAAGATGGCTGTGGTTGTGTGCTTTGGTCTCCTTTAACTGGCCATCTTACAGTGCAGAGGGACACTCTCAGTGGACATAGGTCAGTCTGGTGTGTGTGGTGTGTGCTTGCTGGAGGTGTGACTTTCTGTGGCCTGAGCTGTCAGTTTGAACTCATGGATGAAAATGGTCACTGCAGTTGGCCATTTGGAGGATGAGGGATATGCTGAGCTGATGTGTTTACTGTATTCATGATTTGCATTAGCATATTGCTTTCTAGGATTTGTGTGCTTTTTCATTAGGCAGGAGCTTAAGTGTCAAAGTAAATATGTCACCACTGCTTCTGAAATGTTGACAGAGGTTTTGGATATTCCTGCCCTGGCATTTTTTTGCTGTTCTTCATTTTGGTATGTATTGTATCTGAAAGGAGGGGGTGTGACATACTTCTCCCTGCTATGTATACAATTTGTCACACAAATGCTGCTTAAAAAACCAGAAACAGCCTTTTTCCTCCTATGCAGGGGAAGAACAGATACAATATGTCTCCGTGCCTCAAAAAAGCAGAGGCTTTAATGTGTTTATGTAAAGAAAGTGGGAAAATAACATTAAGGTGTCAACTTCATTTGACAGTTGATTTAATCTGTGCTGTTCCCAAGGGGGTCATCCCGTGGGTGATGGTTGGTCACGTCTCATATCCTTGTGCTAGAATTGAGATGAACAAACACACAATTGCACCCATCATGAATGACAGCTGTGTGGGAAAATTAACTTACTAAAAATTAGACCCCACCAAATTACCACCTTCCCTCTCTCCCCCACCTGCTAAGTACTTGTCCAGTCAGGTCAGAGTGATGAGGATGATGGTGTGGTTGGAGGAGCCCTAACAGTGGCACATGAATGGGAACAGAAATGCAGGAGAGGATGGCAAGCACTTGTATGGATGAAGATTTATTTATGGATTGGATTTTATTTATTATAGATAGCTTATATCAGTGTAGTAGCTTTTTATTATCTTAATTTCCCTTATTATCCTTAACTAACACATTTTAGAGGCAAGGATGAGTCGTTCTGTGCAACAAAAATGAAATTATTTTCTTGTTAATTACTCTTCCCCAGGGCAGAATTCTGGTTTGCTGAAAAATTTGAGGAGAACAATCTTGTATTGCATCTTTTGAAAAATTCCATTATGGGTTTTTGTTTGTTTAAAATGTACTTAGTGGCAAGTTGCTTTTCATCAGCTGCATGCTCACTTTGCTCGTACATATTTTTCAGCAGCCTGATTTTTTCATATTTAACCTTTAAGCATCTCTTCCATTGAATTCTTGAGGTCTTGAAAAATGGGCAAATAGAAACAGGAACACTTAGAAAAATTAACTGTTTTCAATGTATTGTTACTTTTTCAAATTCTGCCTTGTGCTATATTTGCAAATGGGAAGGAATCATGAAAGAAAAAGAAACAAGTTTCGAAATTTCACCCTAAATTTTTTGTTGTTGGGGGTTTTTGGATTTGGTTTTTTTTTTAAATAGATATTTTAATTTTTCCCTATAAAAGTTTACGTTAAAAAAAAAAAAACAAACACAAAAACATCTCTTTTCCTGCAGCTGTCCACATCATCAGTTTCAATTCTTTTTGACACCTGTTGCTTACATTATTCTTCAATCCAAACTGGGAACCAGCTTTTATAACATCATGGTCGTGCTTGAAAAAACTTGAATCCAGATTAATTTTGGTTAATGTTGCATAGCAAAAGCAGTTCTGTTTGCTCCCCAGTATTAATTTTAGAGTTAGGCAGTTACTCTGGATCTCTCCAAGAAGCAATTGGAAGAAACATTCAGTCCAGCCTTGAAAGCAAATGAGAAATGGGAATTGTGGTCAGGTGGGGAATAATGTTCTCCTGTGCAGGTGGAAAAGCCTTTTCTTTGAGGTGAATTGCAAACTGTATGTATTTAGCCAAATTACTCTTTTGAAGGTCTACTGAAAGGTTTACACAAAGAAAAGGAATTTCATGCTTCCTGGAAAGTGCACCATATTGCTGTTTTATACTGGAGTCTTGGTGTGGGTATTTTTAATCAAACTGCTACCTATTGGATTTGATTATATACCAGTTACTTTACCTTAAGTCCTTCTTAGCTCTCAACTTGAAAAATAATGTTAGGAAGAGAGAGTGCCTGACAGGTCTTGAGAGTCGTGGGTTTCAGGATTTCACGAGCCCACAGGGTGAATTCTCTTGAAATGGATTTTGTCAGTTCAAGAACTGTTTTGTTCTTTAGATGTTGACCTTATTTAAATTACTCACAGATAAATGAATTCTGGGTATTTGAACTCTTTGCATAGCAGCTTACAATTGCTCTTTTTTGCAGAAAATGTATTGTCAAATTACTGCCGCCTTTTTCAGGCAGAGTAAACAAATAATTCCACATGAATTCTTGGAAATAATTTGAAGATTGAGGCAACAACAATTTATTTTGAACCTAAAAGACTAAAATTTATAGATTATTGGGAGGAGGTGTCCTTAAGTGACATCTTCAGTCCCATCCTCTCCTCAAATACCTTGTATAAGACCAAACTCTCTAATCTTAACGTGAGCAGGTTCCTTTTTTTCTTAAATGTTAGCTGGGTGGTCTTTACCTGATCCTTATTTAATACCTCTCATAGCCCCTATGAATCTTATTTCTAAGGTTACCCCTCATCCCCAGAAAGATTCATAAAATTTTCAGTTATTGTTCATGTATGATTAAAAGGGTCTATTACTAGAACATGTCTGGCAGCAAAACAACTACCCACTTTTCACATAATAGGATATTAATTAATACCCTTGCTGCACAGACAGCAAGGCTGGGGATATGATCTGGAGCCAGCCTGCAGGAAATTGCACTCAACTCCTGTGTAGAATGCCCTAAGCAGGAGCTACAGCTCACCTGGAGAGAGGCTGGGTGTCCATTCCATGTCCAAAACAGAGCTGAGCATGGCGCTGCCATCCTTGGCACAGGCCCTTCCTGTAGGATGAAATTCAAAAACCCATTGCAGCCTGGGTAGGGTACTGATGCTGTCCAATACTAGGGTTTTTTAATATATGGAGTATAGCAGTTTCTGGTACACTCTAAAGTGTATTTCTCACTGTAGTTTGCTCTTTGCTAGGAGTTTTTCATGTAATTTTGTGCCAAACTGGCATGGAAAAATTATTGTCATAGTGACAAACTTGAAATAGGACTTTAGCATTATGCAGTTAAATATGTGTACTGCTGTCTTAACTTGCTGGCTGATGGAATTATTGGCCACCTTCAGCAGTGGACATGAAAAGCTGAAAGCAGAGCCTTTGAGAGCTCTTGTTTAACTTGCTTTCTTTTGCTATGTTGCTGAGGCCAGAAGGGTATGGTATTTTTATTACAAGTATGATTCCATATCCACTGAAATGGAAGCGCTAACCAGCCTCAGTGGGAATCTTCTTAACCACACAAGGGTGGAGTAAAGTTCTGAGCTTTTGGTCTGCATTTCAGATTCAGAAAGGGTGTGTGAGTTTGAAGTGCTTCTTTTAGTACTGTTTTGTTATCTCTTCGTTAAAATTAATTACTGAGATACTGTTATACTTCATTTTGTATCAGTAAAGGCTTCATATCCTTTCTATATTTAATCTTGTCCTATGAGTACTACTGTCTTACCTCCCTAGCAGTTTCTAATACAGGACAAGGTGGATATCTTGCACTGCTAGAGGA